GGTGGAATCAGAGGGATCCTGTCTCCGTTCCCCATGGAATCAGAGGGATTGATCCCATCTCTGTCCCCCGTGGAGTCACAGGGATTGATCCCATCTCTGTCCCCCGTGGAATCAGAGGGATTGATCCCATCTCTGTCCCCCGTGGAGTCACAGGGATTGATCTCATCTCTGTCCCCCGTGGAATCAGAGGGATCCTGTCTCTGTTCCCCATGGAATCATAGGGATTTATCCCGTCTCTGTCCCCCGTGGAATCAGAGGGATCCTGTCTCCGTTCCCCATGGAATCAGAGGGATTGATCCCATCTCTGTCGTCTCTGTCCCCCGTGGAATCAGAGGGATCCTGTCTCCGTTCCCCATGGAATCAGAGGGATTGATCCCATCTCTGTCCCCCGTGGAGTCACAGGGATTGATCCCATCTCTGTCCCCCGTGGAATCAGAGGGATTGATCCCATCTCTGTCCCCCGTGGAGTCACAGGGATTGATCTCATCTCTGTCCCCCGTGGAATCAGAGGGATCCTGTCTCTGTTCCCCATGGAATCATAGGGATTGATCCCATCTCTGTCCCCCATGGAATCAGAGGGATCCTGTCTCTGTTCCCCATCGAATCATAGGGATTGATCCCATCTCTGTCCCCCGTGGAATCATAGGGATTGATCCCGTCTCTGTCCCCTGTGGAGTCAGAGGGATTGATCCCGTCTCTGTCCCCTGTGGAGTCAGAGTGATTGATCCCATCTCTGTCCCCCATGGAGTCACAGGGATTGATCCTGTCCCCCGTGGAGTCACAGGGATTGATCCCGTCTCTGTCCCCCATGGAGTCAGCGATGTCCGGGCTGACTGCCCTTTGGTGTGCGGCCAGCACCGTGTGCGACAGCCCGGCCGGCAGCCGCCCGCTCCGTGCCCAGGAGAGCCTCTGCAGGGACGAGGGCTGTCGGAGCTGGTGTGAAGCACTCGAGGCAGAGGTGGTCTGAGATAGCACGAGGTGGGGGACAGCCGTGGGCACAGCTCTTCTCGCTCCCCACTTCATAAATATGCCCCTGCTTCTCTGTATAATGCCTGTTTGGAGCCCCCAGTTGTGGGAGAACCACTGTGCTGGAGCCGTGTGTTGGGTGCCAGGGGCTGTGTGGGCTCAGGGGTGCTGACCCATGGAAGCGACTGCGGAACCGGCACCCATCGGCCACGGCAGCACCGTGTCTCTGCCGATCCGTTCTTGACTTCTGTGTGAGAGCTCATCCTTCACGTAGAAATGGGTCACTCATTCGGCCTCTGCTTATTTTCCTGAGGAAATAAAAGCACAGGAGTGATTGTGGTGAGTCCCACCCGAGGTCTGTCAAGCATGCAGAAATGAGGAGGAAGCCTGGAGAAAGAGGGAGAGGATGGGGTAGAATCCTAGAGTGGTTTGGGTTGGAAGGGACCTCAAAGATCGTCTAGTTCCAACCCCCCTGCCATGGGCAGGGACACCTTCCACTACACCAGGTTGCTCAAAGCCTCATCCAGCCTGGCCTTGAACACTTCCAGGGATGGGGTAAGGTTTCTTTTCACATGCCCAGCTTCTCAGCAAAGTTTCTAGAGGTTGTATCCCTTGGTTCATGCTTAGCAGACACCCATAGACTGTTGGGAATTTGTCCCATCTCTTTTTGAACTGGCATCTTCTTTTGGTCTCCATAGTATCCTGAGGCAGCGAGTGCCACAACTTTAGGAGTGTGTTGTGTGAAAAAATATTTCCTTTTATTTGTTATAAACTTGTTGCTGGATGATGGCATACAGTACCCCCAGCCATGTGTTGCGAGAAGTGGAGAGTTGTTCCCTTTTCACTTTCTCCAGGGAACTCATTATTTTATTCGCTTTCATTGTCTTCCCATCTTCAGCTTTTTCTTTCCCATGCAGAAGAGCCATAGCTTTAAAACATTGAACTGATTAAAAAAACATACTAACACCATGTTGCCTTATAAATTTTAAAATAATGACAATAGGACGACTTTTTACAAGAAATGTGCTGTTTAGACTAGACATAATGCATTCTTGTGGACAGTCAATGATTTAGGATTTTGCCATTAACAAAACCCTACTGAGAAAGAGTCCTGATTTCTCAGAAATCCACTGGGAAAGATGTTCCCTTTTATTTAAAACTTCTTTCCCAAAATTTATAGTCCTTCATATCTGATTTCGGCGGGACGTCATTCCCAGACTTCATTGCCTGTTGGTATTGCCTGAGGAGAAGGACTTGGGGGGGTGCTGGTGGATGAGAAGCTCAACATGAGCCGGCAATGTGCGCTGGCGCCCAGAAAGCCAACCGTGTCCTGGGCTGCATCCAAAGCAGCGTGGGCAGCAGGGCGAGGGAGGGGATTCTGCTCCTCTGCTCTGCTCTCCTGAGACCCCCCCTGCAGTGCTGTGTTCAGCTCTGGGGTCCCCAACACAAGAAGGACATGGAGCTCTTGGAGTGGGTCCAGAGACGACCACAAAGATGATCCGAGGGCTGGAGCACCTCTGCTATGAAGACAGGCTGAGAGAGTTGGGGCTGTTCAGCCTGGAGAAGAGAAGGCTCCGGGGTGATCTTATTGCAGCCTTCCAATACCTAAAGGAGGTCTACAGGAAAGCTGGAGAGGGGCGTTTTACAAGGGTATGTAGTGATAGGACAAGGGGTGATGGCTTTAAACTGAAAGAGGGGAGATTTCGATTGGATATAAGGAAGAAATTTTTCACTCTGAGGGTGGTGAGGCACTGGAACAGGTTGCCCAGAGAAGTTGTGGCTGCCCCATCCCTGAAGTGTTCAAGGCCAGGTTGGATGAGGCTTTGAGCAACCTGGTGTAATGGAGGGTGTCCCTGCCCATGGCAGGGGGGTTGGAACTAGATGATCTTTGAGGTCCCTTCCAACCCAAACCATTCTATGGTTCTATGATTCTATGATTTCTGTAGCTGCAGTTGATACTCATTGTGCTCAGTGTTCCCTTCCATGGAATTACCTTCATTTGCTTGCTGGGAAGCAAGTCACTTTCAGATTTGCAATTAATGCAAAATTTCAGCAGGTTGTGGTATTTCTGATATTTTGTTTTCCTGAATCTCTTTTGTGCTATCAGCTTGCCTTTTATCAAGCATTTATATGTTAATAAGTGGTGTAAATGTTATTGCCAAAGGAATACGAAGGCCTGATTCTCTACCCCCTGCAAAAAGAGGCAAAATAAGCCTGGATGCCATCCTAGAAGAGCCATCATCTAGGAAAAAAGCATATTTATTTTTTAGTTACATTTTGAGGAGATACAGCCTACATTTTTCTCCTCTCTTAAGGAAACGGATGATATGTAGCTCTATCATTTTAGTCAACAATACTGGAGCTGCATTAAGGTTTAAATGATATTAAAGATCTGAAAAGGAAAGTGATCACTGCAGAAGTCACTTGCAATGCAGATGGCAAATGCATCATCCCGAAGGGTACAAAGCCGACACGGCTGCGGTTAGCCACGGCAGGATCCGTGTCGGGCACTGTTGATTTTAACAAGTGCAGACCTGCTCGACTATCTTTTCAGTTTTTTCTCTGTAAATAGTAACAGTTTGTTTGTTTGTTTGTTGAGGTATTTCCTGGCTTAGGCAACAGCTAAGTGTTTGTCAAAGATATGGTGAGGTTGTGTTTCATCAGTAAAAAATGTAGGGCCTGATAAATTGTTATTCTGCACAGCAAATACCTTGTAGACAAAGGGGGTTTTATGGCCAGGAGCCATGGGGTGGGGGAGCGGGGCTGTACGCCGAGTCGAGATACCCTGCGTGATCCCAATTCCGTGGGAAAGGCTGGAAACACATGAAAACAGAGTGAGTCTGTGTGTAAACCCATCAGTGCCTGCTGTTTCCAGAAGGGTGTTGTCTCCCCAACCTTCACGTGGAGGCTGGCACAGTTTTTAGCTCTGGCACTACAAAGAAGATGAGAGAAAAATAAGATGCAAAGCTGTGTGCGTACACGAAACAGAAAATAACCCCTATCATCTTGGCATGGGAGTGTTTGTAACTTTGGGGAAAAGCCCTTAGAGGCCATCTGGCCTGTGTGCAGAAGGTGACACACAGCCTTGTCACCCAAGCAGGGGGCATGGAGGGGAACCTGTCCAGCAACCAGCCACCAGCAGCATTGATAACCTTAGAAACTGCTCTCTGAAACGCTGCACCAGCAGACGGGGACATTGTTAGGGTCACTGGCAGATTTATCATGCCCTATCACAAGGGCGTGTAGTGACAGAACAAGGGGTGATGGCTTTAAACTGAAAGAGGGGAGATTTAGATTGGATATAAGGAAGAAATTGTTCACTCAGAGGGTGGTGAGGCACTGGCACAGGCTGCCCAGAGAAGTTGTGGCTGCCCCATCCCTGGAAGTGTTCAAGGCCAGGCTGGATGAGGCTTTGAGCAACCTGGTGTAGTGGAGGGTGTCCCTGCCCATGGCAGGGGGGTTGGAACTAGATGATCTTTAAGGTCCCTTCCAACCCAAACCATTCTGTGATTCTGTGATTCTATGACATGCACACAAATCGCCTGTGATGGAAAGCTGAGGGAGGTGTGCGTTTGGATAGAAGCAACCACTGTGATTTAAGAGCTCTGGCAGTGGCAGACAAATGTTACGTGTCCTTTCTTGCATGTAGATAATTTCCATTTCGGAAACCCCAGGGAAGCCTTTTCCCCAGCAGGACTCACCCTGGAGCTCTGCTTTACCGTGCAGCAGCTCTGCAGATGGGCTGCTCTGACACGCCAGTCCTGGTGGTTTCTGCAGCCTGCTGCAAGGCTGCACGCCTCTTCTGTGCTCTGGAAGGGTGAACCCGGCTGCTTACACCCTCCCTGGGAGAACCACAATCATTGCTGGGATTTTCGGCACTCTTGCGGGCCGTTTTCTGTATCTCGTCACCTTTTGCAAAGCGGATAAGGAAGTGATGAGGATAGAGGGGCTATGAGATAAATGTCAGACCTGAGGGGTGTTCAAGGCTCCTCTCCTGTGGTTTAATACTTTCACTAGAGCCCTGCCGTGGGAACTGAGGGTGCACGGAGAAAGTCTGTCCGTGGTGCCAGGTCAGGAGACATGGCCAGGGCAGAGGTGGTCACGCTGACCGTCAGCCCCTGCTGACACTGCGGGGTCCCTCCCGCTGGGCAGGGAAGGGAAGGCGCTTGGTGGTCAAATACTCCCCACGGAGGACTGAGGAAGCATTCAGGAGATCTTGGTTGTAACCTAGGTTTGGTCCAGGTGGGTGTGACGTTCTTTGATACAGGCAGATGGTTTACACGATGTGGGCAGGAGCCTCAGCCCCGCAGAAGGACTGAAGGAACCAACAAGGCATGTATGTGGTAAGAGATGTTGTTTAGAAAAATCAGCTCCTTGCTGCCAGTTTGCAGGACTGGGATAGCCACCTTCTGTGCACTGACGGGCCCCTGTGTGTTGGCATATGGACTCAATGCAGTTTGGGTTCAGTATAATGTCCTCCAGAGGCAGTGAGCTCCCGGGAAGGTCTCTCTTTATAAGGAGCTTCTACAGTGACACGCTTGAATAAAACTGCTTTTTGCAAAGGGTCCCACAGTGCGCCCATCAGAGCACTGGACTGGCCCCTGCCCTGTCCCTCCTGCTCGTGACAGGCTGGCAATGAGGTGTGCTGGGGGTCTTCTACTGAACTGCCCTTTCACCCAAACTCACCGGTTAACCCCAGGATTCAAATTGTGGATTTCAGTGATCCTTCACCTTGGGGTTACTGGGTGCTTCCCCAACCAGCTGCATTCCTCATTTGAAGCCCCTTACAGTTTTCTCCTGTCTTGACTCTCCACTTCCTTCTCCTTCGCAGGCTTTTCCAGATGGCTTAGAGGCACATTAGAAGATGGAGTTGGTGTAACTCCTAGGTGATGCCCTTTCCAGCCTCTTTGCTTGGAAATGTGTTTGTTCTAAAGCCTTGGTCAGGCAAAGCTCTCATGGATACAGGTCCCTGCAAACAGAGGGGATGATGCCATGAGTCATCTGAAAAGAAATAACATTACTGAGTTGGGTCTGGCTTTTCTTTTATTTCCTCTTCCAAACACTGTGTTGTGCCCCTTGCTTCAAGCCCTCTCCCAGCCTTCCCCCAAAACGTGGGTAAAAGAGTAAGAAATGAGAAGCTCCAGTAATTTCCATCCTCATCTCTTGCAAGGTGCATCTGAATAACCTTGTGCTCAGGTTTCACACGTGGTAAGGAGCTGTGGGAGCTGCCCAGGAGGGGAAGCCCTGGTATGAGCACATGAAGTGGATGGAGAGGAACAAGCAGCAATATAAATTCTCCTAATTAACATTATTCTGACAATAAGCTGGTGAAGCTGAGACCACGTGCTTTACTTAACGCTTATCACAGGAGGTCTTGGTTTCTCCTAAATGTGTGTTTGCCTGCTCCAGGCTCTTGCCACGGGTGATTTCCCAAGCTGTTCTCCAGGGAGAGCTGCTTTCATTGCGGTGCAGTCAAAGGCTGGGTACGTACAATGAAAGGCACTGCTGGAGTAGCTGTGGGCACCAGGATGAGTTCTTTATCTGTGAGCATCTTTTCTAAGAGGCACTCACCAAAGCCAAGCAGACTCATTGGCCACGGCCGGTTCCTGAAATAACTACTCCACAGGCTGAGCTGGAGCTGAGCTGCTGCTTCGTGTCGTGCTGTGCTTGTTAAAAGGTTTTGGCTCGAGAAATTGAGACCTTTGTGGGTAAAAGCACTGTGTCCCTGCCTTTACTCCACTCCTCCGTGCAGTAACTAACCAGTCCCTCCGCTCTGTGTTACAGCAACTGAAACACCCCAACCTGGTGAACCTGCTGGAAGTGTTCAGGAGGAAGCGGAGGCTGCATCTGGTCTTCGAATACTGCGACCACACAGTTCTCCACGAGCTGGACAAGCACCCTCGGGGGTGAGTGGGCTGTCTCTGACTGGGAGCTTTGAGCAAAGGAGTCAGGGGGTGTCCGTGTCGTCGCTGCTCTGCAGAGTTTTCAGAGGAATTTCATTAATTACAGGAGAGGTTTCTCAGCCCAGTGGCCAGGACGTGCTCCGTTACTGCGGTTTAGCAATGACATCCAAAAGAATTGCGTGTGAGCCTGCGTGTGCTCCTGCACGGTGCTGCTCACCAAGGAGACGGGGGCGCTGAGCCCGGCCGTTTGAGGGATCTTTGGCTGGCTGGGCAGCAGCAAGCCCAGCTGGCTTGGGAGAAGAGGTTAGGGCTGCGGGGGAGGCGGGCAGGTGGGCTGGGGGCACGCAGCCCTCCTTCTTGCTGCTCCTCAGGGGCGTTGCAGGTCACTCCGGGAGGCTGTGCAGATCCAGGCTGTGGGCAGTGGGGACAGTGTGATGGAGCACCCAAATATACACCCTATAGCGATGTCACTGGTGACCTGGATGGCAGACCAGTGACTTCCTGCCATGCTGCTGCACTAAGCAGTACGTGTTGGTTGGCAGCAGTGACCGGGAGCTGTGCCTGCACCTCTCTGCACAGCCTTGGTGAACTGCCAGGTCAGATACCCTCTGCTTTAAACAGGCACTTGCATAAAGTGTGAGCTGCACCGGCAGAAGAAACATTTCTCCAGGACAGGGTTTGTTCCTGTGACACATTATGAATGTCACTCCCACTTAATACATTGTCCATAATTATTCACAGTGTCTTGGTGCCGTGGAAATGCTACGCAGAAGTTCATAAATCATTTTACAGGCCTGGAGCTAAATGAGTTGCCTGCAGGAGACTAATTGGGGGTTGAGTAAACAAGAGCCTGTTATTCTCTTTCTCCCTGATGTGGAGCTCTAGATGGAGCATGGAGCATGCTGATAGCAGATGGCTTTGTGAGCTGCCCCGCAGCTTTCACCCCAGTTTGAACTGGAATCACCCCTATTCACCTGGAATCTGAAGAGAGGATGGATAACAAACAAATACTTCACATTTGCTTTCTGTTCATCAGAACAACTCCAGTGTGAACGAACGTGTAACGCCTGGTTGCACGCTTTGCTTTTGATCTTTGCTAGGCAGATGGTCAAGTCCTTTGTGGTCAGGATTAAAGTGGGTGGTCAGAGGCCTCTTTGCACTGTGTTTCCAGGTCATTTGACCAAGTTCATCCCCTTGTCAGGCTGCCAGTGCAGCACTCTCATCATTCTAGGATGTTTCTACAAGGGAACTCTAGCATTGCAACAGCAAAGTCACCACAAGACCTTCTGCCCTGACAGCAGAAGGTGGCTTAAAGAAAAAGCCAGGCTTCCTACATATCGTTTTGATTTAGTTTTTGTTTGTTTGTTTTTTCTTTATGATGAATCAGAAGCTTTTCAGCATTGAACACATGAAATAAAATTGGGTTTGAGCTTGAAAGCATGAAGACTATCACCTCTGCCTTTCCTGAGGTGGTTGAAGACCATTACAGACAGCCAAGGAAGTTTAAGAACGGTGGCACAGTAACTGAAAGAGAGGAGAGGAGGCTGGATCTTTAACAGAGGTTTTCTTTCTCTGAAGTGTTTGCCAGCAGTTGGAGGGAAGGAGAGGAGATGCAAACCAAAGTGGAGCTTTATATTCTTGTAGGAACATCCTTCCCCATCCCATTTTGGTCACCTCGCTACTCTGAACAAGCAATGACATGATGGCATTGCAACTCAGAGCATACATCTATACTGTACCACGGATGCTCCACCACCTCCAACTCTCTGAGCAGTTGCAGAGGCAGGGAAGCCTGCT